TACACAGAATAAGTGGTAGATTACGGCAGAGGGGGCTGCATGGGGGCTTCGGGAGGGAGGTAACACCTAAGCTAGCCCTTGAAGGGTAACGAAGATTTCCAGAGGCAGAGGAAAGAAGGGAAGGGCATCCCTGGCTGGGGTAACTGACAATGTGAGTCTCGGCTGGGACAGCAGGATTGGGTTCTGCCACTTGGGCTGCATTCTCAGAGCCAGAGGGGGTCGCTGAGAATGGAGGTAGCATGATCGGTCCACAAGAAGAGCCCAGGCTGCAAGGTGATGTATGGGCTGCAGAGGTAGGGATCGGGGCAGTGAGACTCTCAGAAGCTGGGGCCAAAATCCAGTAGAGATGACGAAGGTCTGGATTGGCAAAGGAAGAGATAACATGCCAAGAGATAATACAGAGACAGAATTAACTTGATTCAGCCCAAGTTGACCATGGGTTTGAGTCAGCCTGACCCTGAGGGCAGTCCTCTCCAGGGTTGGGCGCTGGGGTAGCAGCAGGAGATGGAAAGACGAGGGTGAGTCTGACTGGGGGTGGCTGGGTGCGGGAATCGGGGTACCTCTGGGAGCCACATGCAGCAGGTAAGTGACAAGCCCAGAGTTCAGGAGAGACAGCCCCTTCCAGCCCCGAGGCATCTGGCTGTCCTCTCCTTGTCTGTGCTCAGGTCCCGTCCTGGTCTCTGCTGTACAGCAGCTTCAGGGCGGGGAAGAAGCCCCCTTGGGTGTGTTGTGCCGGGGGCTCCACACCCCTAGGGAAAGCCCTGAGTTCAGGTTAGCAGGAACACTCAGGCTCTCTTCGCTGAGCAGTGGCTTCCGATCCTTAGCGATCTAGAGTCTGTAGATCTGGCACGGACCCCCGAGATCCAGACTTCCCAACAGCTCCCCAGGTGCACTTGACAATCACCAGATTCAAGTACAGATTCACAGGTCCCATCAGCAGACTCTCCACTTCAAGGGGTTGGGTGGGCCCAGGAAGCTGAATGTTTTAGGAGGCGTTACCCCAAGTAACACCAGGGTACCCAGTCTGCTGACCATGCTTGGAGGACCCCTGCTCCCAGCAAATGTTCGGGTCAGACCCTACAGCTGGAGCCTCTTTTCTCTGCCTCCGTTGAGAGAGTTGAGATCCAGAGGGGGCCTCTATGGAGATGGGCGGTTGCTGGTAGCTGATGTGAGATGGAACGATAATAACCACCACGGCTGAGTGATAACTGCGGGCCAGGTACTATTCTGATGCCTCCACTGTCGAGCTCTGTAACAACTTTCCCCGTTTTGCAGGTGAGGCGACCGAGGCTTAAAGCAAAGGTCACACTGCTGGCAGGTGGTGGAGTCACAGTCGCAGGTGTGCGCTCCATCACGGCCGCCTGCGCTGATGCGCGGGGTGAGTGCCCTGCCCTCTGGCTTCCCCTCTCTAAAATGGAACTAACTGTTCCCGCCTGCTTCCTGGAGACGCTGGGGTCTCAACAACTCTGATGATCATAAAGTCCCCGGGGACGCCAGCAGCGCTTTCTCCAAGCAGCACCCCTGCCGCTTCCGTGACCCCTCAGCTGGTCTGAATGCCACCTACAGGGAGCATGTCTAGAGCTTCTGCCCACGCATCACTGGATGGGAAGGGCAAAGGACATTCCCTCTGCCCCACACGGACGGCCCCTTACAAAGATAGCGTTGTACGTTTCTCAATGGGAGGCTCTGTCTGATGGCAATAATATTATTTTCTGCTGCTGACGTGTCACCTCCGTTCCCAAACTGGGAATATTCAGCTGCATGTTCCACCACAGGCTGTGCCATTTCAGACCGAAACGGAGCCTCCAGGTCCCGAGACCTGGGAAACACACAGCAAGCAGCAGGTGAAGATACACCAGGTGACACGGCTTGGAGCAACTCAGAAAGCTGGGAGGGAGGGGCTGCAGGTGGTATGGTGCCAATTTCCTTCAGTGGCTTTTGTTTCTGTACGTTCTCACTTGAATCCCTTCAACGTGCCCGAAATACTTAGTTCTGGCCTCAATACTCATTAAAGAAGCTACCATCTCACCGAAGGAGCAGGTCGCAGGTCCCGACCTGCTAAGCTAGCTATGCCTCTTTGCACGGCTCCCACTAAGAAGCGGGCTGCAGCCGCGGACTCAGTTAAAGCGATGCAGAACGCATTATTGGCAAGCAGGAAGAAGAAGCCTGATTTCCTCATCTGTATTATTGCCACGTTATCTCCCGAGGGAAGGGCAGGCAGTGGGAATTCCATAGAGGTCAGTAACCACAGGTGGGCATTTGCAGGAGTAGATATTTTTCTCAGGATACACAAGCAGTGGAGTTTGGGGTGTGACCACTGTGACCACATCGCCACTACCTCTGATTACTTTCGTCCTTTGAGATCTCCTTAAATCGCCCTCCTCTTTGACTGCATCACCACCCCTGCATTAAAATACGCTTGCATTCTGCTCCAGTGAGAGGGGCAGGCAGTCTGATTTCTCCCTCCTCCTTCGTTCCGAGCTGCCATAAGGTCATCCGCTGCCTATTCTGGGCCCTCGGTACAGGTGCAGGACTTCTGGAGACATCCCTGGTCCCTGCACACAAGGAACCCACCTGGCAGGAAGGGAAAGATGCCCACGACCTCTGAGAAAGAAGGCCAAAGGGAAGGTCAGGGCGTCAGCAGGAAGGGATGCGCCCACGTGTGACGGTGGTGGCGGGAGGGAAGGCAGAAAGGGACAAGAAGCAGGAGAGGGGCCAAAGCACCGGTCAGGTGTGGAGGAGCGGAAACGTACATTCGAGAATGCAGGATGGGGTCTTTCAAGGAAGTAGGAGAGGAAGCAGGGCTTTGATGCATCGTGACGCGAAGTGCACCAGATTGGAGGCAAACTCTGTCTCTGAGCTCAGTGAATTGTCAAACGTGGGCGCTGGAAAGGGCACCCAGGGTCATCTAGTGCAAATCCTTCACTGTGCAGACGAGCAGCCCAAAAAAGCGAGGTGACTCTTCCAAGGTCACACAGCAAGTTAGTGCCCTGGTTGGGGGTATTTCCACCTCGGAGGGCTGCCCCTCAGCCCAATGATAGATGTCACTGATCGCTCCCTTAGGAAATATGATTTGTGACCTATTAACACTCTGCGACCAAGGCACAGGCCTACAGGGCCCCCACAGGGACTCCAAACTGAAGCAGATTATAACCTTGGCTTGGTCCTCTAGGCTGACGCCCAGGCCATCTGTGCTTCTCCAAGCTCCAGTGTGGCTCCACGGCTGGCCCTGGAGGAGGGGCGGAAATGCCCACTGGTGCCAGTGAGTCCTGACAGATGCCACTGACAAAACAGCAGGCGTCAACACTAGGCCAGAGTCCCAAGGGGTGTGCAGATGCCAACACCGCCACCACCAAGAACAGCACCCTCTAGGTTAGAAGGTAATACGTGCGGAAAGAAAGAGGCGGCAACAGGAAGGCTTAAACTTGGATGCTCTTTCTGATCAGTGATGACACCCCGAAGACCAGAAAGGACACAAGGAGGTGAGTGTGTGATTTAAAAAGTCGAAGAGCTCGAACTAGAATGGGATAGCAGCGTTCTTCTGGGTGGTAGGGCAGACAAGAGGAAGCTTAGAAACAGACCCTAAAGTTACACGAAAAGAGAGCATCATTCTGAAAAGTAACCAGCAAGATAGGTTTTTTTCTAAAGCAGAAAGAGCTAAGTTCTTTCCACTTGGACCCTCTTCTGAACTGAACTATAAGCTTTTAAGACAGACTGTATATTGCCTTTCACTCCTGGATAAAATCTTTAAAAAAAAAATGAAATAGTGCCAATGGCAGCAACATGGATGGACCTAGAGATTATCGTGCTAAGTGAAGTCGGACAGAGAAAGATAAATATCATATGACATTACTTATATGTGGAACCAAAAAGAAAAAAATGATACAGATAAACTTATTTGCAAAACAGAAACAGACCCACAGACATAGAAACAAACTTATGGTTACCAAAGGGGAAAAGGGAGAAGGGATAAATTAGTCGTTTGGGATTAACAGATACACACTACTATATATAAAATAGATAAACAACAAGGTCCTACGGTATAGCACAGGCAACTATATTCGATATCCTGTAATAAACCATAATGGAAAAGGATATGAAAAAGAATAGATACTTAGAGATATATAACTGAATCACTTTGCTGTACACCTGAAACTAACACAACATTGTAAATCGACTACACTTCAATAAAAAAATAAAAATTAAAAAAAAAAGTGTGTCTGGTGGGCCACTGTGCAACTTGCCTACCTCCTCAAACTCAAAATGATATCCGCCAAAGGGACAATCAACAGGCATGCTGGAAACCTACCATTCACAAGCAAACCCTTCACATTTGTTAGGAAATATACTTTAGATTTAGCTGAATGAAAAGCATAAATCCAACTGAGCGATGTTTGCAGGGCACCCAGCTGTTCACAGCAGCAATTTTCATATCTGAACAACCGATATCTGTGGGTGCTTCTGCAAGCAGGGCTGCCCAATTCCATTTATGTCAAACCCAGGCCAGGAAGTAATCCCTCCACTTGATTTTCCTAACAGTGGAATTGACGTTCCTGGTTCAACAGTTCATTTGCTGTACCCCGGCCTCATTCCAAGAAGATACACACTCAGGAATTCTTTAAAAGTCAAAATCAAATAGTTAGGAGCAAAGGCTCACAACTCATAGCTTTGAAGATTACTCCAAATGCTATGTTTTCAAAGTGACCACAAATCACATTTTTCAGGTTAAGGAAGACAGAAGTTCTCAAGCAGAGAAAGCAAGAAGCCACTCTTTTATCCTACAAAAATTCTCTAGAAGCGTATTCTCAAGTTCAACTGGAGAACCTCGGGGCTGGACAGAAAATGAGACTAAGGCTGGCCCACCCTCACCCCCTTACGTGGTAGATCTGTCCACTGCTTAGTTCCGCAACCTTCAGAAGGAAAGACTCAAACAACACAGACTCATTTTCAAACGATAATGGTTCCCAAGCCCTAAGATTATTCTTTGTAAGCTGTCTTACTGATCATGGTGGTTCCCCCAGCCAGGGCTGCCTTGGTGCCTTGAAAGAAGTCATCAGCAGAGGTCATCCCCTGATCAGGCATCTGGAAGCGGGTATGGACATCGATCCCTCCAGGGATCACCATTCTGGAATGGGCTTCAATGGTCTTCACCCCTCCTGGCACAATCAGGTTTTCTCCTATTTGCCTAAATAAACAGGGTAGGTGACAATGATTGTAAAGAAATGGCCTAAATCAAACGGGATCTGACAGACATTTTCACCACGCCATAAACAACCCTTCCCTATGTTCTAAAGACTCTTCAGATTATTGTTATCATTCATAATCTGTGCACCCCTCACTCCCTACCCTCAAGAGGCAATGCAGAGCATACTAGAAAACAAAATCTAAATAAGGCATCAGAGGCCAATCAAAGAGGCTTAGTTACCAGAAAACCCGTATGATCAAATGATAACAAAGCCCTGAGATATTTACATAAAATATCACTATACTTTCCTTACAACACACTCAGTTGAGTTAATTATCCTGTAACAATTTTCTCCAGACCTGGTTGCACTTTACAAACATTTATTTTCACCATATCCTTTCCAACTAAGAGAAATGAGGAGTAGAAGGGTAGGGAATCGAACAAAACAAAGATAATAATAATAAGTAAACACTATGATTGCAACTATTTAAAAATTTGGAAGCATGTGATCAGCAACTCAGATAACAAAGGCGGCAAAATTAATATTCATTAAGTTGGGTAACAAGGATTCATTTCTAATTTTTAAAAAATATCTCTGCTACCTCTTTATGCTAGTTTTTGGAAAAGGAAAAAGTAATCAAGGGGGAGTTGGTAAAGTTCTAAAACAAATTAGTGATGACTAAAAATATTACACAGGCTTGTTCACTTCTAGGCCAGAGTCTTACAGACCAGATCATGCTGCTTTCCACTTGGGGGAAAATGGAACATGAAAGTCATGGTATTTCAGAGCCTGGAGCTGAGACTGTCACAAGCAAACACACATGGAGAAAACATTAAATGTGGAAATGTTAAAACCTCTTTTAGGATCGTAAATCAGGGTGTGAGTTTCCAGGCAACAGACACGTCCACTACAATTTTCCACTCCTCTGGACTGGTTTGCTGCTTGCCCTTGATAAATGCTGCTTATTTAAAAGATGTCATTTGCAGCAGTGTTTGTCTTTAAACAGATGTGCTATTTCTTCAGAGCCCTCTGAGCTGTCCCAGTCGGAAGGGCACGAGGATATTGAGACGTTCTCAGCTCACTTAACCCTCTAGGACCCAAAAATACCCTAATTCAGTAACTGCTTTGTTGTTTTCTCCTTTGAAACACAATACACAATAAACACAAAGGCAGTCCCATTTGTGTTAGCCGCCACTTAAAACATGAAACCTAAAATTCCCTCGGAATGAGGCAGTAATTTGTCTCTGTGACGTAGTAATTAATTTGGTGTCCATTGCCCCCAACAACTTGGATTCTTGATTAAGAAGGCAGATGTGCTATCATGATAGAAGAGGCTGTACTGCACGTTTGTGTCCTTTGATTGTCCTATCCACCCCACACAAGTACATTCTAGTAAAACCTTTAATATAGTCAATGGATCATAACCTGAGTATGTGGCAACAAGAAGATGTGTCACCTCGGTTAAAAATAGTCAATTACATAACACGTAAGGAAATGGGTGTGCATTTAATTGTGGTTTTGAATTCCCTAAATCTGAGTTTTCAAACTCACTGATTACCACCAATCAAACTAGGCTTAAACAGATACTGAGTTAGTCTCTAAATCACTACAGCTTGATACTACGGGTGTGAACTGTAGCTAATGCTTAGGAACACCGCAAGGTACCCAAATTTGTGGCAATATTGAGTTACACTTACTTGATCAACCCATCTTCCATGTATATGTCTGCATAGAATGACTGGTCGTCATTAACGATTTTACCTCCTTTGATCAGAAGACGATCACTCTGAAACAAAGAAGTAGTAAGGTCACAATTCATAACTGATCCATGAGAAACAGTTGGTCGTAAGATAAATGAGCTAAGACCACATTTTCACTGCTCAAAAGTGATGCTCAACATGAGTCCATTTTGGAAAGACTCAGTGACAAAGGTGAATCTGTATTTGGCAATCTACTCATCACTTGATGAGTCAGAACATACTGGCAAAGCTCAAAGCTTATCCTAGAGAAAAAAAAGAAAAAGAAAAAAAACACAGCAGAGACAACAACCATCTATTTCCATTAGACCTACAAGCACAAAAGAAAAAGAATGAAAAAAACAGCCTAACAATCTTCCTTTAAAGATCAGTAAAAAGATTTCAGATAAAGAAGGCAATCACTTTAAATGGCTTTAGGCTAAACTTCATTTGAAAAAAATAATACACCCACATGTAGCGGAAGTCGATTCTTGTTGAGATTTGTGTCGGGAAAATTTAACCAAAAGTCTGTTGTCATGGGATACTATACACAAACACACTTTGTTCATCCATAGCAATGTTTCAATTCAGTATGTTCTTTATATTTGCATTTATCCTCGAGGTAAATCACAATTGTAGCAAAGAGGGGGAAAAAAACACTTCGAACGTGCACCATTTTAACTATTAAGCTGTTAAGAAAAAGGTAAAGTTTTAGAATAAAGTAGGTGAGATGGCAAGTTCTAAAATCTAACACTATTATTGACTGTACACAATACTGATACTTTAATTGGTACAAAAAATATATGACAAGCAGCATATAAGAGCCAAGAATGTAACAGAAATGTTACATTATGATTCATCTCTATCCCAAGTGCTGTTGATGGAATGCTATGCCACTTCAAAGAACGGCGTTCATTTTGACAATGGTTAACTCAAAATTCAGTTAAGAATAATATTCTCAGCAAGTGCTTTATCTTTAGCACCTACCAAGAAGAAATTACAGCAACTTTTTAAAAGTATATATAAGCTACTAGAGACCTAGAAAAAAAGATACTTCTACACAGAAATGCACACACCCCTGGGTTTAGAAAGTATTTATTGTTTTTCTAACATCATGAGAAACACTAAGATTATTTTAATTGTTACACTGTAGGGACCTTCATCCTGCTGTAGGGTTTGGAAAGTCAAATGGGAATAAATAGTCAGCAATGATTCCTGCATTTATATAAGGCAAAGGTTAAGACCTTTACAAAATCCTGTCCTGTAAACCATGTCACCCAAGCCTCAAATCAAATCTGTGAGGTGATGGGAGCTAGATTCTTGTCTCAAGGACACATAAAGAAACTGAGGCTCAGAGATGTTAAGCCACTGGCCCAAGGTCACCTGATCCAGTGCACTTATCTGTCTACAATGATCTCCCCCTTTTCCGCAGAATCCAGCTCTGATGGGATAAACATCGCCTGGGAGGCAAAGAGAAGCCCTGCCCTTCACCACCTGTTCCCCTTAGTCACTGCAGTACCTGTTCCAGCCATCATGCGAATCCCCGAGCCAACATCTTGTTGAGAAAAAAAATGAAACATCACAGCCCCGCTCACTCGAGTGGCATCTTACATAACAGGCTGGCCGTGCTGACGGAGGAAAGGAAACCATGCTATAGGTCCTACGATAATGCCACCAGATTTTGTTAAAGGGCAGAGGGGGCGCTCTTCCAAAAAATCAGTCTTGTTGATTGTTTGCTTTTTGAATTATTTTCTCCCCACACTGTCAAAACGAAACTGCCTTTTTCATTCACGAAGACAGCAGAGTACTTGAGGCTTGCAGCAAATCTGCTCTCCACCCCACTCCCCAGATTCCTTCCTGCAGTGCAAGGAACACATAACGCTGGGTCCCCCGGCGCTCTGCCCTTTGGGATCTCGGGTCCTTGGCCCTCAAGAAAAAGCTAGTACCCACCCCCCGCTGTAGAAGAGCTCATCCTATAAATCCTCCCGAGCACACGCCCCTTCCCCTGTGCATGTGCTCCCACATCTCTCTCCTGCGGATGGGTGTGCCCTTGTACATCCAGTGGAAGTCGGGGTACCCGTGGCTAAGGAGGAAACCAGAGCGAAAGCACTCCCTCAAACCCAGCCCTAAACACATCTGGACTTTTCAAAAATTCTTTCGGTCACCGCCTCAGCCCTGGGTTCTACCCAGCAATCAGCTGGCCCATTGCGATTGCACATCATTACATAACAATGAATTTCCCTCGCGTTCCTCCCTCCCCGGGATTTCATTCGGGGATGTAGAGAAATAGGACTGGCGAGACTTTTCCGGGAAAAGATGGGGAGAAGATGGGGGCGGGGGAGCGGCGGGAACAAGAACCTGTGTTCATCGCCGAAGCATCGCAAAGTCATCGCTTGGAGCTTCTCGTGATTTACAAACTAACAACCCCAGGCCCCAGAGCTGCGCCGGCATCTCCGGCCTCTGCGATCATTGTCTGGCCGAGGCCGGGCCATCTGCTCCGCGCGTCGCGCAGCGCCATTACCTCCCAGAGCCCGGCTCGGCGCTGTCCCCAACGCCCACCCTCCCAGCCCGCTTTCCCCAACGCCCACCCTCCCAGCCCGCTTTGTATGCGCCAACACGGACGCCTCCCCGGCTGCAGAAGGGGCAGAAAGACACAAGAAAGCGAGCCCAGAGCCGCCAGGGTCCCAGCCCCAAACCACTGGGCGAGGAAGCCGAGAGGGCCACCAAAAACTGGACCCGGTCAACAAAAAGCCCACGCCTACCTCCCCCCCTCCTCTGCTCATCACCGCGTCCCTGTTTTTCCTTCCCGTTTCCACAGGATCCCGGTACACCCAGCCCTTTTCAGCATCCCTCTGCTGTCATTACGCCTCCGAGCTAAAGCCCGCTCCTTTTTCTGAGGAACCGGAGGAAGGCTCCAGAAAGCCCTTTATGGTGGGTGGCGGGAGATACAGGGAGAATCCATTTCCCCATCTCCCCATCCAGCTCCTGGAGTCCAGCTCCTGGAGTCCCGCATCGCAGCACGCAGCCGGGAGAACAATATCCGAGCTTCAACCATGCATATTCAATCTGGCATCCATTTGCTTACACCCCGCAGGCCAGCACTACAGCATCTCGCTCTGACAATAAAAGGATACAGCGGATCTGGCGCGCTACCTAAAACGACCTTAATGCACTCACGCTCCTATTTTAATGCCTTAGAAACTATATGGCTTACAATTCTATAGGATTGCGTCTCCCATCACGATCGCCTTCTTTAGCAACAAGGGGAAAAAAGGAAAAAAAAAAAAAGTTGGGTCTCTCTTCCTCCCCCTCCTTTAAAAAAAATTCCTTATATGTTCTGTGCCACAAAAGGTTGCTGGCCGATCGCAGATTTCACAAGTACCAAACTCACCGTGATGCGTGGAATATTTTTCTTCCCCTGATAAGACATCTCTCTCCTGGGAAAAAATTAATTTCAAGAGGGCAGCTTTAAAACAAAAATTGCCCGGAAAGAGACTTGGTATTTTTTGCAGGATTGAAAAATGTGCAGCCGCTTAGCTGGTCTTGCTGATAGAAATTTTCAGGAATGTTAAGGGATAAATGCAATCCTCTGTCTCCCTTTCTTCCTCTCCTCCAACACTGCCTCAGCTAGGGTGGAAAAAAAGAAAGAGAGAGAGGGAGAGAGAGACAGAGAGACAGAAAGAGAGAGAGACAGAGCAGTAGGGAAGGGGGTGGAAATAAACTACAGCAATAAAAGCCTCGGTTCAAGTCGGCCACCGCGGCGCATGCGCCGCCAGCCACTCCCTTTCCTCTCAGGCCAAACCCGTCCGCTTCGAGATAGACGAGTCCTGATTGGCCACAATCGTGGGATATGCAAATGAGTGCAGGCGGGGAGGGGTGCGGCGCGAGAGCGCGAATTGCTGCAGTGTGCGGCCGAGGGCGGCGGTCGGTGCGTGCGCCCGAGCGGGGAGCGCGCCTTTCGCGCCCTTTCTTTGCACTGGTGCATCGGCCACCCGGGCTGGCAGCGGCCCCAAATGCAGCATCAGCATCGCAGGGACAGCGGAGGGGTGGTCATTATGGGCAGGGAGAACCGCGCCCCGCGACGGTGGGCTTCGGTGCGGCCCGGGCGGCGGGCTTCGGTGCGGCCTAGGCAGCACGCACCCGCTCGCGCGCGCCCCGGTGGATGCTCGCCCGCGCGCCAATCCGCGGAGGCCGCCGCTGCAGCCCGCGTGGGGTGACTGCGCCGAGCCAATAGCTTTGCTGGCGGCGAGCGCGCGACTGCACGGCCGGCCGGCGCCGCGCCGCCCGGGAGGGGCGCCCAAGTACTCCTCCCGCCGCCGTCGCCTTTCGCGAAGGCTCGCTCGGCCTCCGCCCAGGAGTCGAAGGGGGAATTCAGATGGCCGCGAGCGGAGGGAAGGGGAGCGGGGCGGGGAGTCTCCGCGCGGCGCCGCGCCGGCCGCGCCGGCCACGCCCAGCCCCGGAGAGGGGCCGCTGGCCGCGGGCCTGCGGGCGGCCGGCGCCGGGCTGGGCTCCCCCGGGGTAGAGGAGCGCGGGCCCGAGGTGAGGCAGCAAACAGGAAGTGGAGCCGGAGGCCGGGCTTCGGGCATCAGTGGCCTGGCAGCTAGCTGGAAAGGAAAGTCCGAAGCCCTCACTGCTCTGAGTAGGGAAGGAAGGCAGCCGGGGAAGACTGTAGCCCGCTGCTGGGGATGGAAACCCCGCCCTGAAACGTCCTTTTGTGCCTTGGGGTCGCAAGGAACTTAGGGGCAGCGGGGGAAGCAGCAGCCGCCTGTTGAGACCGAAAAAGGCCCAATCTAGGGCCCGGGTCTCCTCTTTAACAGTCACGCTCACCTACACCCATTTCGGGGTATGATGGAGAGAGTGCATTTCGCTGCTGCCTGCACTTTTGTTGAGGAGAAACTGTTGGGATTGCAGCGCCCTAAGGGCCCAAAGGATTTGCATTGCTATAGGCGGGCCCATACTTCACATAATGAGGCCGGAAGCCGGGAGATAAACTGGAGAAGCAGGAGGAATGAAAAAAAGGCGAGCTTATATCCTGAAAAGCAAGGGATCC